CACAGGTTTTATTTGACAATCCAGTCCAGACCTGTGCTCATTTTACTTAGAGTCAGTCTTGCTTAGTTGATACAAATCTGGCCTTGGAGTCAAGAAAAACTGGCAACAAGTCTTGCTTCTAATATATTCAACATGTTCCCATGAGAAAGTCACAACCTCTCAGTATCCAGACATCCTTTTAAGCATAAAAGTTACTGAGGAGCAATAAGGTAGCTGAAACCCACATTGTGAAACAAACAAAAACGAAACAAAGCAGGCAGCATGCCCAGGGGTATGAAGTAAAATGTTTACATCTGGCGCTCTAAAATTAAAAAAAAAAGAAAAGAAAAGCACATATATCCCATTTTAAAATTTAATCTTCAATATCAACATTTTCTCCATCACTGTTTTTAAGTCTAGACAATTAACAAACAAATAGATCAAGCCCTGATTCAAAGCATTTACTGATTTTTAAAGCGTAAATGATCACACTAAATATTTAACAGTGGATTCTTTTGAACCAGTTCGAACTGGCTCCAGCACACTATTGCCCCAATTTACCAGTAAGAAGGCAAAGTTTTATAGAATGCATAATATCCAACAAGTCTTTCAACAAAATGTCATAAAACTGGCCATCTACTCTGCCCCCTTTATTTTTCCAATGTGGAAACTGAAGCATACGGAGGTTATATGGTTTGCCCAGCATCTCACAGCTTGTGTCTGAGGTAAAATCTGAACCAAGCTCTTTCTGCCTTGAAGTCCAGGACGCTATCCACTGCAACAATCCAGTTCTTAGTACAAAGAGGAAACAACATAAAACTCTTTTATTTTTGTTTGCTGCTGTTGTGCAGTCATTTGTTGTGTTGAACTCTTTGTGACTCCATTTGGGGTTTTCTTGGCAAAGATACTGAGGTGATTTGCCATTTCTTTCTCTATCTCATTTTACATTGATTTGCCCACAGTCACACAGCTAACAAGTGTCTGAGGCCAGACTTGAACTCAGGTCTTCCTGACTCCAAGGCCAACACTATTTTTATAGGCCTAAACTAATAGAAAGATATTAAGAATCTTGACAAAGAGTGCTTAGAAACTCGGTAGAACTTAAAATCGAACAAAAAGGAGCAGAGTTCTAGAACTACCAGCCCAATAATCTATTTAATTAAATCTGATGAGGTTCTTGAATCCATGTAACTTCTTCTTTATTTTGGTTAGGCAATGGGGTCAAGTGACTTGCCCAGGGTCACACAGCCAGTAAGAGTTATGTGTCTGAGGCCACATTGGAACTGAGGTCATCCTGACTACAGGGCTGGTGCTCTATCCACTGCACCACCTAGCTGCCCTGTAAATTTTTTAAATAAACAAACTATAGCATAACCTCTCTCAAACTGAGAACCAGAATGCAGAAATATGCTAAGAACACTGAACTTGGAGTTTGTTTCAGATCTGTACTGGAATCTCAACATTGTCACTTTCAGTAGCTGTGTGACCCTTGGCAAATCACATCTCCTGATTGGGCATCAGTTTCTTCTCCTGCAGCTCTAATAATCTATGCTAAATGTGATATGCATAAGAAACAGTACATTTCTAGTAATAGTACTCCCTCTACCACTTTTATCTTTTATAATAAGTTTTCCTTATTTTCCTGTCATCTGTATAAGTGAGCATGTGAAATCAGTAAGCAAATAATTAATACTGGTAGTTCACTGTTAGTTCCACATGGCAATTTGCCTTAGGATATCAGTCTCCTTGTCATTGAATTTACCTGCTTCTGTTAAATGACATCGGTTTCTGTAGGAGTTAATGTGTCATACTCATTAAAATGTCACAGTCATTAAAATGGCTGACCCATAGGAGACCACACAACTATGTATCATTTTGATGAGATCAAGATCATTTTTTTAGTTCCATGGTTAAGATAAAAAAAAAAAAACCTTTCATTTAAATGGGCAATGGGCAGAAAGGAGAAATACATCCCAGGTTTGCTGTTTCTCTCTTTTTCCATTAAAGATTTTGCACTAACTTTTAGGGGTTTTTTTAACTTCAGATATATATATATATATATATACATAACCTTTTAAAAGTCTTGGTGCAATTTTAAGCTTTTAAACTTTGGGATTTTAATAAGCTATTAAAACTTAAAACTGTACAAAGGTTTTTGCAACACCATATATACATACATATACATTTATATATGCATGTAAAGTCATTATTTAGTGAAATTGCCCTTATTTTCATAAGATGCACAGAACTATATGAATATAAGAAATTACATACTCTGAACAAACTGGAGAATTATCTGTGCCCTTACTATGAAAGAAAAAATGAATTTCTTAAAATATCAAGAAAATTGAGAACAAAAAAAATAACTTAAATTATCTAAGTAATTGTTTTGATTGTCCCCTTAACTCGTGTTTATAGACTTAAATTTAAGATTAAATTGAACCTATAAAGAAATTATCATACATAAGTATACATTAAACATGATGGTGCCAAATGACTTATTAAATTTAAACTTAGGAATATGGAGCTCATTGTTTATTTGTATTTGCTCATTTATATATTGGCTCATGTATTTATGTATTTTTTCTTTTACATTTGTTCCCTTCCTAGGTCATTGAGAAGGTCAGCATGATGTTCAATTAAACTTTATCCTCTTTTAATTGTATCATAATTGTTTAATTAAATGATATCAAATAGACCCAAATAGTCTGTAAGTTCCTTGGGAACAGGGACCACCTCTCACCTTTCTTTGTACCCCCAGCACTTAGCACAGTGCCTGGTATACAGCAAATGTTTAATAAATGTTTCTTGGCTCACTGACCAACTGCCAAGAAATCTGCTTGATTATTTTATTGAATTATTTACTGACTGAATACAGTAAAAACTTCTTACAAACTAATCATGACAGAATTCAATTTATGAAACCTACTTGAAACTAGTCAAACTCTCTTTTTGACAGAAGGACAATGGTGGTAATGGTGGAATTAAGCTATTACAAAATTCAGTTCAATGATTCAAGATAAAAGTCTGCTCAACACATATGCCACCTTTTGAAAATATGATCTGAAATTCTGTTGTTATTTGTTCAGCCATTTCAGCCATGTATGATTCTTCGTTACCCTGTTTGGAATTTTCTTGGCAATGGTACTAGAGTGGTTTGCCATTTTATTCTCCAGCTTATTTGACAGATAAGGAAACTGAGGCAAGCAGCGTTAAGTGACTTGTCCAGGGTCACACAGCTAGCAAGTGTCTGAGGCCAGATTTGAACTCAGGAGGTTGTGTTTTTCTGACTCCAGGCCCAATACTCTATCTGCTGTACCATGTTGCTGCAGTAAAACTGAAATTTACTCATTGTCAGTGAAATGAGGTGGTTTTCTCACTATCCTTTTTTAACTTAGGACTAAAGCAGGGGATCTTATCTTAACCTGGAATCCATGAACTTGTTTTTTAAAAAAAAATGTTTATAATTGTAATTTAATATGATTGTTTTGATGTGTAATTCTGTGTATTTAATTTTGTATATTTAATAATGTTCTGAAAATCAAGCTGGGAGCAGAACCAAGATGGCAGATTTAAAGCAGTGACTTGCTTGAACTCTCCCCCAAACTCTTCCAAATACCTGTAAAAGATGGCTCTAAACAAATTCTATAGCAGCATAACCCACAAAAAGAGTGAAACAAATTTCCAGCCCAAGAATGGTTGATTGGAAAGGTCTATTGTGCAGGGCTGGGAGAGGAGCACAATTCAGCAAGGGTGCACAGGCAAAGACCAGGCCTCAGCAAATCTGGAACAGGCCTCAGGGGACTGAATAACAGGCAGCTGTGGTGGTTTCCTGACTTCTCAAGCCGCAAACACCAAAGACAACATAGAAGGTCAGTAGAAAAGGTCTATGACATGGTGAGAGAGGAGCTTTGTCTGGCCCCATTCCTGGCCCAGCTCTGGGCTGGCGGCTGCTCCTGGAGCTCTCCTCCCACAGACAGAGGGGGAATCAAGTGGCTGATCAGAGGGGAATTACAGAGATCTCTTTACTGGTACTGAGGCAGGATTTGCTTGCTTTGTGCTTCAATCTGGATTTCAATTCTGTTTAGCAGTCCTGGGGCAAAGAGGAGTGCTGGTTTGGTGAAGCTTGCAGTGGTGGTGAAGAAGGAATCCTCCTCACAGTTCCAAGGCAGAAAAGAGTGCTTGTGGTCATTCATAGACCACAGCTCAGGACAGGAAAGGAGTAAACACCTCACCTTTGATCATAACACCTTAGAAGAACTGAACATTTACAGCTCCCAAGAAGTATCTCTGAAAACAACTGCACAAAACCCTTGAAGCTTGGGATAGTACATTTTCCACACTGGAAGCAGACCTCTACCTTAGCAAAGAGTGTAAAAGTCAAATAACTGGCTAGGAACATGAGCAAACAGCACAAAAAAGTCAGACCATACAATCTTTCTTTAGTGACAAAGAAGATCAAAACACACAACCAGAAAAAGAAAAGAAAGCCAAAGATTCTTCATCCACAGCTTCTAAGAAAAATATGAATTTGTCCCAGGCCATGGAAGAGCTTAAAAAGAATTTTGAGAAGCAAGTAAGAGAAGTAGAGGAAAAACTGGAAACAGAAATGAGAGTGATGTGTAGAGGGCCGGCTTTGGGGAGTTGGAGGGCTTAGGCCAGCCCGGGTCTTACCTGTAGTTTGACTAAGCCTGACAGCTGTGAAACTCAGGATGTCGGCTCACCACCCCCCTGTTCCGTCTCTTGAGAACAGGATGCAGGAAGGGAGGAAACGGATGGGGTACAGGACAGGACGCAGGAAAGAATGTAACAGACAAGGTACAAGGAAGTAAGGAAATCACTTAATTAGATTTGTACTTTTCATGAATAATAATGTTACTATTGCTTGATCCAGTACTATATAAGCCTGAGCCCTCAGATCAATAAACAGAGTTTTTCTTCACTGCTCTCACCTGGCCCGTGATTCTTTCTCTCTTCACACTCTGCCGGCATCAGACCACAGCCCAGACGCAGGTGCTCCCAGCATTTGGCCCCTGAACAGGGACCTGAAAGGAAGGCTTCCCCCGGCAGAGTGGCCCTGGACAAAGTGGGTTGTTTGGCCAACACCCCTAGAAAAGGAGCTCTGGTCTTCAAGAGAAGACGCTAACAAGGTAGAGCGATAATTTTCCTATACAGTCTTTTATTTTCAGCAGGTTAAGCGGGGATTAAAAAGAAATGAGACTGTAGCTTTTCAGTGTCTCCAAAAGTGAAAGTAAACTTCAGAATGAGACTGCCGCTCTTCAGCTTCTCTGATTTAAAGGGAAAGTAAGCCACACCGGCTAAGTAGTGTCCTATAAGATAGTTAGCTAATATGGGGCAGAGCTCCTCGGCAGAACAGAGAGACAGACAATATTATTTGAAAGTATCCAAATACAGGGGACACAACTAGAATTTCAGCATGCAAATAAGAACATTGTCTTTCTTTAAATTGTCAACTGAATCTTTGTCATTTCTATTGAGAAAAAACCAAGTGCCATTCTGCTACTGAAATCTCTGCATAAGATACCTGTACTGTCCAAACATTGCATTGCAAGTCATAGCTGAAATTAGTTCAGTATATCACCAAGATTCAATCTGCTGACTATTTTGCTCGCCAAGACTGTACTAATAGCAATGTTGATTACACTAGGAAATGGCAGTGCTCAGTCTTTGCGGTGTTGCAATTTTCACACATTTGCTATTTTATTGATTATTGTTTAAAATAATAGTACTGTATGAGAACTTAATGATTATATCTTGGAATTATTTTGTATAGAAAATATACTTAGAAAAGTGGTTACCATGCTGCTGTCCTGTTCTTGTTAAAAAGACCAATGTCATAAAAATTCAGGACATTGGCAGCTGATTACATTTACAAAGTCAGTGTGTAAGTGAAGCTACATTGTATTTCCCATTTTATATATGTCTCCCTATTTGATTTCGTTCAAGTTGTAGTACATTCTGAAAAAGTTGGCCTTAGGTGTGTGTCGTTGTGGCATGCAAAGAGTTATGATGACTTTACATTAAATGTCAGAATTTGTAGTCATTATGATTTTAGAAATTTTTGTGGTTTTCAAGAGTCTCAAAGAAAATTGTATATTAACATTTTTTGTCAGCCATTACATTTCCAAACATTATTAAAAAAAACAAACAAACAAAGGTAAATGTGATATGGCAGATGAGCAGACTAACCAAAATCAGTGGTTAAGGGGATTTCATTTTAGATCCCTTTTAATAATCAAAGAAAATGGGACATTTGCCTCATACATATATTAAAAATAAGTTTTATTGAAGTTAGAGCTAAAATAGCATACTTAATTTTATAGCTTGTATAGATACATGTCCTTTACAACCTTACATTCATTTCAGATCAGTTTGTAAATCAAGAGTTCTATCTTCCCATAATTCTAGAAAAATAAAGCTTGTATCATTTTATCTACAACCACCATTTAGGTAACTTAAAAATTACATTGGAAATAAAAAAAGAGGAAAATTACTTAAGAAGCTAAGTTATATCAATAATTAGAAAACAAATCAACTTGTTTTCTTAATCGGGGGAGGAAACTTCATGGGTAAGAGTAAATAAACTCTCTGCTTTAGAAATTTGACATGAGCAGTTTGTATGTTAAATACAGTTTAATGCATTGTATGTATACTGATATTTCCAGTAAGATGTAGCTTGTAAATTTTCTGAATCAGCTCCTTAGTACTAGTTATAATATAGCTAAAATCTTAATATATTTTACAGCATATAAAAGGCTATAACTTCATAAGTCTTTTTTAACATATCTTTCATAGAACTTTTTGATTTAAAAAATTATTCAGGGGCAGCTAGGTGGTGCAGTGGATAGAGCACCAGCCTTGAAATCAGGAGAACCTGAGTTCAAATCTGGCCTCAGACCAAATACTTGACACTTACTAGCTGTGTAACCTTGGGCAAGTCACTTAACCCCAATTGCCTAAAAAAAAAAAAATTCACTCTGACTTTGTTAGAATATTAATAGCAATATTTTTAGGCTTTCATTTGTCCTGGTGGTTCTTTGGGAGGATTTGCAAGCAAATTAAACAAGTGAAGTGGGAAAGGGGACATTTATTTGTGTGTTTGAATATTTGGAAATAGATTTTTACCCTTGCCCAACAAAACCATCTTGAATTCAGTAGATAACTAAAGAAATTCTTTTGCTTTGCTGCAGAGTTCTATTGCCTAATTCCCCTCTTGTATTAGAAAATCCAGCATAAATTTGTCATAGCCTGGTCAGTAGTTAAAACAACATTTCAGAGTTGAAAATAATTTTTGTTAATTAAACCATTAGGGAACTTTTTTTTTTAACTACAGATAGGAAACTTAGTTATTTCTGTGTTTTCTGCCAAGAAGCATAGCCTTAAACACATTTCTATACATACCTGATTTCTTAGCTACTTAAACTTATGCTGTTCTAAACATTACCTAATCATATTTAGTTGGCGATTTTTCTACTGAACAATTATGTTAGGGAGAGTCTTATTCTAAATTTCATTTATTTCATATCAATGTGTGATTCATGTTTTTTAAGTGTAATTGCAATGTATGTGTCAGAGTATGCGCAGAAAAAAACATAAGTGGGGGAAAGATGAATATCATATGAAGACAAGCAGATACTTTGGATTAGTTACATATTTTAAGAAGGACATAAGCAATATCATTTCTTGTTTTGCTTTAGTATTCTTGGCAATCCAAGACACCTCAAGACTGACAATGGTCCCACCTATACAAGCAGGAATTTTGCACAATTTTGTCTCACCTATAATATCACTCACTCTACTGGCATCCCATACAATCTTGCTGGACAAGCCATTGTTGAAAGGTGCAACAAGGATATTAAAATCTTCCTTGATAAACAGAAAAAAAGAGGGAATAGAAAATGGGGTAAGAAGGAGATTGGATCAGATAATATAGACCATAAATTTAAAAAGGAGATTGGATCAGGTAATATATACCATAAAATTTTTGACACTAGATGATCAGGGATGTACTACTGCACAAAAACATTTTGCAGGGCAAAAGAACAGGTTGTTAGATGAGCAACCAGATGTCACAGTAATGTAGAAGGATCCAAAGATGGATAATTGGGATGGTCCAGTAAAATTACTAACCTGGGGTCAAGATTATGCTTGTGTTTTTCCAGAACATGCAGGAGAACCAGTCTGGGTTCCCAAGAGGAACATCCGTACCTGTCAGCATACTGACCAGAGGGATAGAGACCCTGAGCGTCAAAGGAAAAACTGGTTGGAGAGACAAGCGGAGGAGGAAGGCGAGACCGAGAAGATGAAGAGCCAATAATAAGATGTTGACTGTCCTTTTTGTAATGATGACTATCGCAGATGGCTCCGGGACGGAGTCATGATTACATTGGACTTATATGCCTTACTCCCCTTCGGTTAAACCTGTAACTTGACCACTATACTTTTATTTGTGTAACTCCCTATTTGCTTTCTAATACTACCAATGTAACTCCTGATCAAATATTGAATGAGCTTCAGGGCACTTGGCATTCCAAAAATATAACATGGATGGTATTGATCCTCAAGATATTGTTTATAAGCTATTGTACTATATCAAGCAACTTAACACTTTCCAGAATATTTCAAGTTTGCCGTTGCATTTCGTACTCTGATAGTATTCTTGTTACTCTTGAGTTTTCTCCTGATGTGCATCCCACATTTTCAAGCTAGAACAGAAGAAAGGGGGAGATATAGAGGGCCAGCTTTGGGGAGTTGGAGGGCTTAGGCCAGCCCGGGTCTTACCTGTGGTTTGTACTAAGCCTGACAGCTGTGAAACTCAGGATGTCGGCTCACCAACCCTCTGTTCCGTCTCTTGAGAACAGGATGCAGGAAGGGAGGAAACGGATGGGGTACAGGACAGGACGCAGGAAAGAATGTAACAGACAAGGTACAAGGAAGTAAGGAAATAACTTAATTAGATTTGTACTTTTCACGAATAATAATGTTACTATTGCTTGATCCAGTACTATATAAGCCTGAGCCCTCAGATCAATAAACAGAGCTTGTTCTTCACTGCTCTCACCTGGCCCATCATTCTTTCTCTCTTCACACTCGGGGACTCAGGCGCTCCTGGCAGTGATGCAAGAAAATCATGAAAAACTATTCAACAGCTTGCTAAAGGGGAACCCAAAAAAATACTGAAGAAAATAATACTTTAAAAAATAGACTAACTCAAATGGAAAAAGAGGTCAAAAAGCCAATGAGGAGAAGAATGCCTTAAAAAGCAGAATTGGCCAGATGGAAAAGGAAGTCCAAAAGCTCACTGAAGAAAATACTTCCTTAAAAATTAGAATGGATGAAATGGAAGCTAGTGACTTTATGACAAATCAAGACATTGTAAAACAAGACCAAAAAAAAAGAAAAAGAAAAAATAGAAGATAATGTGAAATATCTCATTGGAAAAACAACTGGGGTAGAAAATATGTCCAGGAGAGATAATTTGAAAATGATTGGAGTGCCTGAAAGCCATGATCAAAACAAAGGCCTAAATATCATCTTTCAAGAAATTATCAAGGAAAACTGCCCTGATATTCTAGAACCACAGGATAAAATAGAAATGGAAAGAATCCACTAATCACCTCCTGAAAGAGATCCCCAAAGGAAAACCCCTAGGAATATTGTAGCCAAATTCTAGAGTTCCCAGGTCAAGGAGAAAATATTTCAAACAACCAGAAAGAAACAATTTAATATTGTGGAAACACAATCAGGGTAACACAAGATTTAGTAGCTTCTACATGAATGCATTACAGGGCTTGAAATATAATATTCTGGAGGCCAAAGGAGATAGGATTACAACCAAGAATCACCTACCCAGTAAAACTGAGTATAATCCTTCGGGGGGGAAATGAACATTCAGAGAAACAGAGGACTTTCAAGCATTCTTGATGAAAAGACCAGAGTTGAATAGAAAATTTGACCTTCAAATACAAGACTCAAGAGAAGCATGAAAAAGGTAAACAGGAAAGAGAAATCTTAAGGGACTTATTAAAGCTGAACTGTTTACATTGCTACATGGAAAGATGATATGTGTAACTCATGAGTCCTTTGTCAGTATTAGGGTAGTTGGAGGGGAAAAGAATATATGTATAGACAGATAGATAGATAGATAGATAGATAGATAGACAGACAGACAGACAGACAGACAGACAGACAGATAGATAGATAGATAGATAGATAGATAGATAGATAGATAGATAGATAGAGGTCACAGGGCGAGTGGAAGATGAAGGGGTGATATCTAAAAATAAAATAAAGGAGTGAGAGAGGATTATACTAGGAGAAGAAGAAAGGGAGAAGTAGAATGGGGTAAATTATCTCACATAAAATACAAGAAAAAGCTTTTATGGTGGAGGGGAAGTGGAGGAAGATAAGAGTGAGTGAGTGAATCTTATTGTCATTAGATTTGGCTTAAGGAGGGAATAACATACACACTCAATTGGATATGTAAATCTATCTTACCTTACAGGAAAATAGGGGGAAAGGGGATAAGAGTAGAGGGCAATGATAGAAGGGAGGAAAAATTGGGGAAGAAGGTAATCAGAAGCAAACACTTCTGAGGAGGAACAAGGTCAAAAGAGAGTATAGAATAAATGGGGGAGTGGAATAGGATTAAGAGAAATATAGTTAGTTTTTCACAACGTGACTACTATGGAAATGTTTTGCATGACTACAACCTGTATCAAGTTGCTTGAAATCTCAATGAAAGTGGGTGGAGAGGGAGAAAAGGAGAGAATTTGGAAACCAAAGCTTTAAAAACAAATCTTAAAAATTGTTTTTTACATGCAACTGGAAAATAAGATACACAGGCACTAGAGTATAGAAATCTATACTGCCCTACAGGAAAATAGAAAGGGAAGGGGATAAGATAAGGAGCTTGATAGAAGAGAGGGAAGATTAGGGGAAGTGGTATTCGGAATGCGGAAGAAAAAAAATGTTTTGAGAAGCAGTTCAAAATCTTCACAAACTGCCAAAGTGTCCATGATGCAAAAGAAATTAAGAATACCTGGTCAGAAAGAATTTCAAAGTGTTATAAATTCCTTTATTTCTAATAGCAGAAGTACTCAAGTGTGCAAACGATTCTAAAGGTCATTTAACATTATCTTTAGTGAAGTTCTGCTTGTATCATGGACCTGTCCCTGTGCCCTGAAGGTATCTTGTCAAAAAGGTTATATCTCACCAGAAAAACTTTGAATGCATTATATTTGGTAAAATACAATATTTTATATGTATGTCTATTATTTGAGGATCATCCAAATTGCATTTATATAGATTCATCAAAAGGAGTTTGTTTTGTTTTTCATTTTCTCTAGTTGTTGTTGTTTTGTGTGTGTGAGTATGTGTTTGTGTATTAGTTTCATTTTAGCCATAACTCACAAAAAAATTTCCCAAGGGAGAGAAGCATTAAAATCTGTGTGGAAGAAGTACTTATGTTATTGAAATCACACCTCTTTGAAAAATCAAACTATTTTTTCTCAATTCCGCCCAAGAAGCAGTAAGATAATGATCTATCATTTTAATACATGGCAAATAATGTTAATGCTTTGCTTTGTTATACAACAGGTCTATAGGAAATAGGAACAGCCTAGTCATTTTAAATTTCCAAGTTCATTGGGAAAACATTTTGTACTATAGTTGTGAATAGGTTTCCTTAGATATTTCTAGTATCTTTAGAAGAGTAACAATCTCAGGACTTCCATAGGCAAAGTCAAGATGAGGAGTAGGGAGGCATTCAGCTAAGCTGTCCTGACATTAATCTCCAGAAAATTTTAAAAAATGACTCAAATCAAATTCTGGAGTGGCAGAAACAAGAAAAGGTCAGAGCAAGACATTTTTCCCACCCAAGATAACATAGGAAGTTGGAAAGAGAGATCAGTGACACAGGGGAGGAGGCTGTCCTGTAGCAGACATAGATGACACACCAGTGCTGGTACTAGGTGGTGGTGACAGAAGCAGCTACAGCTTTGGAAGCTCTAAAGCCAGAGATACTAAGGGGGCCTGGTAATTGGTTAGAAAGAGATTATATTGACCCAGCAATAGCACTTCTAGAACTGTATCCCCAAGAAATCATAAAACTGGGAAAAGGACCCACATGTACAAAAAATGTATAGCAACTCTTTCTGTGGTGGCAAACAATTGGAAATTGAGGGGATGCCTATCAATTGGGAAATGGCTGAATGTTGTGGTATATGAATGCAATGGAATACTATTGTGCTATAAGAAATGATGAGCAGGCAGACTTCAGAAAAACCTGGAAAGACTTATATGGACTGATGCTAAGTGAAATGAGCAGAACCAGGAGACCATTGTACTCAGTAACAGCAACACTGTGCAATGACTAACTTTTACAGACTTAAGCCTTCTCAGCAATGCAAGCATCTAAGAAATCTCCAAAAGTTTCATGATGGAAAATACTATCCACATCCAGAGAAAGAACTATTGAGTTAAAATGCAGATTGAAGCATATTATTTGCTCTTTTTATTTCTTTTGTTTTGTTTCCTCTTTCTTGTGGTTCATCCTATTTGTTGTAATTCATCCTTACAACAGGATTAACGTGAAAATGTTTAATAGGAATGTGCTAGTAGCACCTATATCAGATTACACACCATCTGGGGAGGAAGGGGTAGAAAAATTTAAAACTCAAAAGTGTATGGAAGTGATTGTTGAAAGCTAAAAATAAATTAATGAAAAATACAAAGAGATTACAAGGTATACTTGTGCTAGCTAGCACTAAACACAGGATCAGATGCTGTTTGGCAACTCCATTGCTTATATCTAACTTTTGGTCATAGTTTAGGAGCACTTTTGGTCAAAAGACAGTGACAGCCCTGAGAGGCAAGTTTTTGGCAACTCTACTGTCTATTCCAACTTCTGGCTAATAGTTCAAGAGCAGAGAGGAGCACTTTCAGTGAAGAGAGAGTAGGAGTTCTGTGGGACAATATCACTTCTGTCCCCAAAGGATCAGGGACCCTTAAAAATTAGAATTGGGAAACTGGAAGCTAATCACTCCATAAGACAAAAAAGAACAATAAAACAAAGTCAAAAGAATGAAAAATGAAGAAGAAAATGTGAAATATCTTATTGCAAAAACAAGAGACCTGGAAAATAGATCAAAGAGAGATCATTTAAGAAGCATTGGGTTGCCTGAAAGCCACGAACAGAGAAAGAGCCATAGACACCCTATTTCAAGAAATTATCAAAGAAAACTGCCTTAGTATCTTAGAATCAGAGGCTAAAATAGAAAATGAAAGAATTGAGAAATAGCCACTTGAAAAGGATCCCAAATTGAAAACTTCCAGGAATATTATAGCCAAATTCTAGAGCTCCCAGGTCAATGAGAAAATACTTTAAACAACAAGAAATAAACTATTCAGATACTGTGGACCCAGAGTCAGGATCACACAAGATTTAGCAGCTACCACATTTAAGTAGTAGAAGACTTGGAATATGATATTCTAAAAGGCAAAAGTGTTGGGATTGAAACTAAAAATAAACTACTCAGCAAAACTGAGTATAATCCTTCAA